AACCAAGGGCAATCCCAGGGCACGTCCTCCGGGCAGACACCCTTCTGGGCTCGTCAGCCATCCAGGGCTCAGCTGCATGCATTTCAGAACTATGAACCTCAAGACCATCTGGGCTGTGCATGGACAGACTCACCCAGATGACTTTGACAGCGTGGCCAGACATTACAGCCACTGTGCCTTCATGCCACCTCGGAAGTCCAAAGCCTCTCCCCACTTCCCAGCCGTGTCCTTGATCCATCCCTGACATTTTCAATCTCCCCTTCATATCCCCCTCCCTCCCACATTCCTGCCTCTCCCCTCCCATCTGTCTGGACCCTACTCCCTCATCTCCTAAGGACTCTGATGAATCCTTCATGTGACATCTGGCACAGTGCCTGGGCTCAGTAAGTGCTTAAAAAATGCAACGTTCCCCAAACTGCAGAGCAGAAAGTGTCAGCTTGTCAAGTATAGATGATTTAAATTCTACTTCCAGCTCCAGCAGGAGTAGCTGGGAGATTTTACGCCGTCTTTCTTACCTCTCCTGTCTTAGAATGCTCACTTTTGGAATGGGACGTGATATCATGGCTCTAGATAGAATCCAACACAACTTAACCACTCAGAAGTCATTGCTTTAACTCACACCTGGGAGAGAGTAACTATTTCTTCTCGAGGATGCGTCTTCTGAAAGCAATGATAGTCAGGATGGAGAGTTGGCAGGACAGATATTTTAATTTTCCTCTTACCACATGGCACAGATAGGTACTGAATTTACCTGTAAGCAGACTAACCATATGTCAAAAGGACAGTGTCCATAGATATTTAGGAATGAAAGGGGAGAGTTCATGTTTATTAATCATCTCCCATGGGTTGGGCATTTTTCATATTATATGGTTTAATCTTCACCAGCACCTGAAAAACCCCCATTTTACAGAGGATGAAACAGAGGTTCTGGGCTGTGAAACACCCAGTACACCTCGGTGGTGCATGGAGGAGGGAAGTGGCCTCCATGTGTGGCCTGCCATGGCTATGGGCTGCAGTTAGGACATTGGTGTTGCAGGAGCCTGTGTGTGTGCGTGGCTGAGCACCCAGGGACACAGTCCCCACAGAACCGAAAACTCTGGCAGCCTGTAGTGTAAGAGAAAGCAGGGGACGGTCGCCAGCCTGTTTCCTCAGGTGAATTAACCTTTAAGCCAGTGTTCAGAAATGTGGGCCAGAGACTCAAGGTACCAGTGTTGCCATCCCCGACCCTGAGTATCGGATTAAGTGTGAAACCAGAGACTTACTTGCTGGACTCGGACTCCGCGCAGGCCTGTTCTCCTGAGGAAGACGCTGAAGGACGTTGTGCTCGGCAGGTAGGCCACTCTTCCTGCAATTCCAAACCTATGTTTCCCCCGCACTTGCGTTTTGAGCCTCAAGTGCTAGTTAAACATTAATTTCTGATGGTGATAAAGGTCGATCAAGTCTTGAGACATCTGGAGGGAATAGCTCTTCTGTAGGGAACCTGAGAAATTCCATTCTAGGGAACCTGCTTCCTTCCAGACCCTAGCAGCATGGCTCTCTCGCACTACACAGTCTTGGGTGTGTGTCCCATTGTCCCACTCAGACTCAGTTTCAACTTTTCAGCTCTATTAAGTGATCCCACAAATTCTAGGCCTGCAGCAGTGTCAGAAGGCAGCTGCCTCCCCCCGCCCCAACTGGACCTGCATGTCTCAGCGCCATGCTCACAAGGTGGTGAAGAATCCCAGGTTCAGATAATCATTACACCCCAAGCCCTCACCCTCCTGCTCAAAGGCCACTGAAATAAATGACATTTGAGATGCATGAAACCATACTATGAGTGGGATTGGGACAAATTCCTAGAAAATCCAAGGTCGGTAGAATTTAATCAGAGCACAAAGCAGAGCTGAAAAGGTGACAGTGAGAACCACAAAGGGACTGTCTGGGGGCCTCTGGCAGAGCAGCCACCGTGCCAAGGGCAGGACTCTACGGGGACAGAGCAGAGGAGTGGTGGGGCTGCGTTCTAGGCACAGGGTAGACAGAGCTGTCACCAGAGGCTTTTGTCATGGGCTAGATGCAGGAAGGAGCTCTCCACATTCTACCCTCAGGGGCAGGAATGGTCTTGGGTAGGCAGGGGCCTGAGGCTTCACACTGTTAGTCCTGGAACCTGAGAGGGAAGAGGAGTGACACTGAGGAGACATCGAGACTCCACAAGAGCCACTAGAGAAAAGAGAAAAAGACACGGCAAGTTGGCCTTTCAGGGACACATGCCCATGTGCTGCCCACCCAGAGTCCCCCATGAGCTGAGGCCTGAAGCAGCAATGGCCGTCAGCCAGCAGAAGAGCCAGGGAAGGGCCCTGTGCAGGGAACAGCACATATGGAGGCCTGCAGGTGGGGGCGGTGTGGTGTCTCCAGCCCTGAGTGAAGACCACCCCAAAGGCTCAGATGAACTGGGGGGTCTTGCAGGCTATGTTACATAATCTGCTTCTCCTACCTCTAGTGGAAGGCACTGGAGTGTTTCTAGAAAGAAGTGATCTTAGCTTATTTATGTTTTAAGATCACTCTGGCTCTTACGTGGAAATGGATCATAGGGAGAAAAGAAAGAGAGTGTTTCTGCTCTCCTGATTTGGAGAAAAGTGCCGAAATCAAAGGAATGCAGTGGGAGTTTGGAATGGGCTGGGCGAGGTGTGTGCACGCTTTTGCACGCTCATTTGTACACATGTGTCAGGAGCTTGCTGGGGAGGGTGGGCACGGGGTGGGGGGGGAGAGGATGATTTCCCAGGGGCAAAGCCAAGGGAAAGATAGGGATAGGTGTGGATCAAGCAGAAGAAGAGCCAGTATTGGGCTAGGGGAGCTGACGGACACCAAGAATTCAGTTTGGGAATAAATTCTAGATAGGCACATATCTGCATGGAGGTGCCCAGTAGCCCTTTCCTTATGAGCTCAGAGTTCAGAAAACAGGTCTAGGGAGGATATTAAGTTATGAGTTGAAAGTGTCTGGATGATATTTGAAACAATAGGACTGGAAAATGGAAAAATCAAAATGTTAAAACTCACACACCAGAAAAAGCACTAGCAGTATCACGTGGGCCCGCAGCTTCCCTCCCGGCAAACAAAGCCAGACAGGAATTCACATCTGTGCCCTGCACCAGCTGCCTTCCTATTTCCCATCTTTCCTCCTGTACAGCTGTGGGGTGAAGGGCAGTTCTGGTGGGGCTGACTACTAAAGATGGACAGAAATCTACACAGCAGGGCTTTTCAGCCTTGCATTGGGATCTCCAGAGAATCGGGAACAACAGAGACAGATGTAGGTGTCCATGGGAAGACTGACTGTGGGAATTGATTCATGACTACGGAGGCCAACAAGCCCGTCTGTAGTCTGGAAAGCGGGACAGCTGGTGGCGTCACTCTGAGTGCGAAGGCCCAATGGCAGGAATCCTGACATGCACCAGCAGGAGGAGGTAGATGGTGTCCCGGCTCAACTAGATGGCAGCACTCACCTTTCCTCTGCTTTTTTGTTCTATTCTGCCCTCAGATTGGATGAGGCCCACCCACAATGGTGATTCACATGCTGATCTCATCCATAGACATACCCCCATAGACTCACCCAGACACAAGGCCTCAAGAGCCATCTGGGGATCCCCAGCCCAGCTGGGTGGGGTTGCGTAACTGTGAGGCCAGGCTGAGGCTATGTAGCCACAGCTGCGCCTTTACCTGGTAGATGCCAGGAGTCCCCAGTTGTGACACTGGAGAATGACTCCAGGCACTGCATGAGTTTCCCAGAGGCAAATCCACCCTGGTTGGGACTCCCTGATCTAGTGTGACTTTGCTGTGCCCTAGGGTAGGGGAAGGCAGCTCATACTGTGGCCAGGCTACACCTATATGGGGGGGCTATTTTTTCTTCTGCTGAAGCAGCCAGTGGCCATCTCTCACACATGGCAGGAGGAAGATGGTGCATGCAGGAGAGATTCTCCTGAGTGTGCTGGGTGTGGGGAGGCAGGCACAGGCTGCCTACTGAGACTACTTCCTGCTTGAGCAAGGGGGGGGACCTTGGCGGCCTTGTTAACATCAAGGCTGAGAAGAGAAGTGGTCTCACTATGGTGCCCATGCGGTGGCTGAAGCCACAGGGGACGAATGCCAGGGAAATTGCATTTTTTTTGAAAAGCCAATTTGCTTAGGAGCTGGTGAGAACCACAGCACTGAGGTTTTTTTTTTTGTTTTTTGTAGAGCTGAAGTTTTTTAATCAAGTCCAATGTGCCAGTCTCCACAAATTGTGCCTTTAGTGTTGTCTCAAAGGTCATCATCAAACCCAAGGTCATCCGGGTTTTCTGTTGTGCATCTTCTGGGAGTTTCATGGTTTATGTCTGTGATCTATTTTGAGTTAATTTCTGTCAGAGCTATTGCACCTGTGTCTGGATGGGTATTTCTGCACGTGGACGTCCAGTTGTTTTAGCACCATAAGATCCTCCCTCTCCACTGGACTGGCTTTGCTCATTTGTCAGAGATTATTTGTCTGTATCCGGCTGGGTCTATTTCTGAGCTCTCCACACTGCTCCATTCAGCTGTCGATTACTTTGTCTGCCACATTGCCTTGACTGCTCTGTTTAGAGGAAGTCTCGAAGTCGGGGAATATCAGCCTAACAACTGTGCTCTCCCGTCCGTGTTTCTCAGACCACAAGCCTCAGCCTGTGGCTGGGTCATATCATCATTCTGCAGGTGTCAAGGCTGGCATCAGAAAAAATAAAATACAACAGAACAAAGTAGGACAGAGAGGACATTGTACCTACGATGGAATATTGCTTTTTGAAACTTCTGTTTCAGTTGTGTGTAAGTGTACTGGGTCATAATATAAAACATTTTTCTTACTGTAGGTTGCAAATGAAAACTTCAAAACCCTGTATAAACAGGTGATCTCTTTCTATAGAAATAAAGACTGTCAAGATTTGGGAAGTCTGAAAGTGAGGATTAGTCAGTGATTAATGAAACTCCTATCGTAAACCAGCCACTCTTCTATTTCCTTTATGATGTCCCTGGCCACGTGTGCTTTCCCTCAGCTTGTTGGCTTTTGCTGAGTCACCTGGCCATAGATTCAACGTGACTTTGAAGGCTACCTAGTGTCTTAGGTTGTATAATGGATGATTCAGTGTAGGTCTCAGTGGCAAAGAGCAGGGATCCAGGGCACTGGGGGACCCAGCCTGGGCACTAGGAGGCCAGCTGCAGGCCTGGCTTTGCTGTGTAGCAGCTGTGTGACCCTGAATGTGCAAGCTGGCTGGCTTCCTTTCCCTTTGGTGAGGGGGCGGGGCCCAGGCTGGGAGGGAGACAACAGGGGCTGCATCGCCTCCATCTCTGGACATTGTCCACAGCACCCCATGCTCACAGAGCCCTTTATGGGGTTGTGCTCGACTAGTGGCTGCCCACGTCCTGCCTAGGGCCAGCAAGCCTCCAAGGCCTTTCCCACCTGTGCCCCCTGTGCAGGCTGGCATACTCTCCGAGGGCAGCTTCAAGCACTTTTGAATGTAACCCTCAGACTGCCACATCCTACCAGAACCCCAGTAAGTTTGGAAGCTGAGTCTCTGACAGTTTGGTGAGGGATGGAGATGCAGCAGATTCACAGTCTAGGCACTCAGGGTAAGCTGGAGATTACCTTGTTCACCTGTGGCACTCTGGGAGAAAACACTTACTATCAAGACAGAGAGTTCATTCTGTAGGCAAGGAGGGCCAGGAGAAGGGCCGGTTTACAGATGAGAGGGAGTGGGTGTTAGGCTCGTGGCTGCACTGGTGTGACTCCACAGCACGCTTCCACAGGTGCGTCCAAGGGTTCTCCAGGTCACTGCTACCATGTGGCAGAGGAAGCTTCGCTGTGCTTCCTTTGATGGCCTCTAAAATTTCTTTCCCAGTAAGGGCTGTGCCTGGTACCAAGGCCCGTTTCTGACCCCACCCAACCTCCTGAATCAGAACCTTGGTGTGAAGCCAGGAATGTGTCTGCCCTGTGGCACGCTGAAGACACCCAGTTTGGAGAGAAAGTGTCAGAAAAGAAAGCTCAGTGCAGCCCAGTCTTACAGCTGGGCGCAGCAAGGAGGAAAAAAACCACCTATGCTCAAAATTACGCTGGGAAATACCTTAATCCTCCCAGAAAGCTGGTACAGGTGCATTTTATGTACAAGTAAAGTCGTACAGAAACAGTACTACTAACATTTTAATGTCTATACAAAGGGAAAAATAATGCAAGTCCCCTCACCACTATTAAAAAATATGCCAAGTGTTGCACAATCTTGAAAAGTGGCTTGTTGGCTACTCCCATCACAGTGGCCTCGTCAATCCAGAAAGACCCTCCAGGCCTTTTTAGGGTAAGTTTGGATTACGTAGAATGATACCTGTTTTAAAAGTAACTGCTCAGGACAAAGCTGCATGTCCCTAGAGAAGTCCTGCCCAGATGACTCTTTTCCCACAGCCAAAGGGGAAGCTGTGTCTGCAGACGACGTTTCTATTTGTACTGGGGGCCTTGTGGGAACTTAGCCCCTTCATGCTTACATGGTAAAATGAGACTAGATCCGGGAGATGCTGAAATGGCAGCGTGCTCACAGTCATGGCGATTAACTTGAGAAGCCCAGAATTTCTTTCCCTCCCCCAGCTTACTCCAGAGCATGTGCTGATTGGGGAGGTTGGTACCCGATTGGGAAGTATCCTTTTTCTTAGGAGGCCCGAGGAAGAGGGTGGTGGGAAGACACAGTTTTGTGTATGACACAACCCTGTGACGTGAATCCACCAGCATCCCATTAAAATGGGAAAGCAGCCCAGAGACAGCAGGCAGGGGGCTGCTCATCCTGCCATGAAGTGCGGTCTCGCCTGTGGGTGAGACGAGGTAGAAGCCGAGCTTTGAGGATTCAGAGACGCCCCGGACACAGGACGACTGATTCTCAGATGAAACTCTCTTCTTTCCCATCAGCCGCACCTCTGCAAGTTAGGCTGTCATTGTCTGCACCGAGCCCAGGGCAGCCCATAAAACTGTCCCAGATGATAGAAACGTCCTGTAACTGTCTCCAGAGTACAGAACCCAAAATGTGACTGGTATAACCAAGAGACTGACTTCTAACTTTATAATCAAAATTTAAATAGTCACCTGTGACTGGGGATCTCCTATTGGCTAGAATACACATAGGCCTGTGGTCACTTCCCCCTCACACCGTCCTTCACACACCTGGTGTGCCATGAGAAGATCTCAGGGGTGCTGTAAAGATCATAAATTATTTTTGAAAGAAGTTCAAAACATAGTAAGAATATTCTTTGTTTTACTTTTTTTTTCAACATAATTTAAGTGTGATGTAAAAGTTTAACTATAGGTTGAAATGTGCTGTGAGATAAAAGGTTGGCAAGCCCTGGTCTGGCCCTGTCCCCCCTGGGCTCTGCCTGCCTCCTTTGCCCTCCCTCCCGTGTTCTATGCTGTGGATCTCACAGGCTGTCCCCCCTGCAGGGGAAAAAAATGCCCCTTGGGCCCGTCGAAGTAAATGTTTATGAGTTTCTCGAGGTCTTTGTTAAACTGCATGGATATCTGTTACCTCCGGAGGTCTGTGAGTCTTGCGGGAGAGAGTCAGGAGGGGAGGCTGGCCCCGACTTAGCGCACCACGGGAGCTGAGAGTCCAGCCTGCCACCAGGGCCAAGCACTTGTGCAGGACATCCCAAAGGACACCCTTCACGGCCATGGATTTTTGGCACTGGTTTCTCCCTAGTGGTAAGAAGTGTGTTTTCAAAGTATTTAGTGAATGGCCGGTCGGAGTATTTAAAACACAGACACAGAAAATGACAAGCAACAGGAAGTGAAGAACACAGTATCCATGTTTATTTCTAGTTACAAGAAACAGAACATCAGTCCTTTATTTGTACAAAAATACCTGAAAGTTTACAATTAAGTTCACGAGCCAAGGAGCTATGTACAGAATGGAGCGAAGCACATGGAGTAAAGGTGTTGTCCTTAATACCTCCCGCGTTCCCTGAAAACGCTCACACATCGGGCCGTGTCGCCGTCACTGTGGTTTGCACTGTGACGCCACCAATCTACAACCAGCAAGCCCGGCCCCTGCCAGGGCGTGCCCGGCAGTCAAACTGTCAGGTATTAAGTGCAGAAAAGACAAACATCTAGGCTGAGGCACATGTTTCTTCAAGATTTAGCAAACAACAACAACAACAACAACAACAAAAGAAGTCCTGGAACTCTAACACCTAACGCAGCAGAGCTCACCTGCCAACTCTGCCAACCAAGCGCTCGCCGCGCTCCTTCTCAACTGTGTCCCGTTTGCTACACGGAGTTCTCATTTAGAAAAGAAAATCACAGGCAGAGATACAAAGTCAACAGGCTCCAAAACAACCCTGAGCTGTCCCCTTTACATTCATGTCAATTAAATACAAAAATAAAAGTCAACTGTCCTTCCATCCCTGGTTTTCGGGACTTCTTGTTTTCAGGTGGAAAACTGCCAGCTGCCCGGCTCACGGCCAGGGCTGGGGGCCTAGGAAGTCTGCACCGCACGGGGCGGATCACATCCTCCAACAATCCACTTCGGCTGGGAAAGTACAAAAAACTACATCAAACCAGCTACGTACAAAACTGCGAATCAGAGTCAAGCTTCTGTTCTCCTTTTAAATAAAACGCATATTTATAAATACGAAATACTGCAGACACTAGCTGGCTACTGGAGAGCATGAGAGAGGGGGATGCACTGATGGCACTGGTCTACGTAAACAGGAAAGTCCTAGAGTTGTTTCTCCTTTAAAAGGTTTTACCTCAAACCAGTGAAGGGGGAAAAGGTATGGTGTGCCTGAAGCGTCTGTCCCTACAGTGAAGTTCAGGGGAGTCATGCTGCCAGGTATGAGCTCAAGAATCACCTCACCGTCAATGGTTCGAAAGAGTAACTGGCTGCGAGAGGAAGAGGATGCAACTGCGCACTTATGCTTGAAAACATGTTTTGCTCAAAAATTCTTCACTTGTATAAGTACACATTTCATGGAAAACAACTAGAGTGTGGTCTGCGAACTACAATACAGTGTTTCTATGCCGTAGACTGGCCTCAGCTGATCTGCCCCACTGAAGCCCGTTCCGCGCCTGCCCTAAGCTATACGGGTCAGTGGAGGAACGCAGAGGTGCCGTTCTTTAGGGAGCACTTCAGTGGGCTGGGTTTGGGGCAATCTAGCGGCCAGCACAGATTCAGAAGAGCCAGTCAGGTGTTGTCTCAGAAAAGGAAAGAGTTTTGCTCACCACAGTAGTCTGTATGCTTGTCAAGGGAGTCCTTTCTGCCTTGCAGGGATCAATGGCAAAGAAATGGCCACTCTTACACCTGATAACTCAGCTAAGGGGACGTGGCAAAGGGTGCCGCCCGGGGGGCATGCGGGGGACCAGGTGACAAGTCAAGCCACCGTGTGACCCATCTTCCGGAGCGGGAAGCAAGTGTCATGCTGATAAGACTCTTCAGTGTCCACAGCCACTGTGAGGTACTTGTGACCCTCGGCCAGCGCAGGAGGGGCCTCCTGGCTGCACCGCATGCTGGCTTGTGGGGCTTGTCAGCAGGACGGAGCTCATCAAGCAAAGGTCTTTAAGAGTCAGCCCGCGCCTGTGCCCTTTGCAGTGTTTCCTCGTCTTTATCACCATGGAAACTCACAGGACACAGCACGGAGCCAACCCGGTGTCATTTTCTTTTAGATCCTTTAATCCCCCGAGGGATGTCAGCCATGAAATGACTCACGCCACTGCAGCAGGAGGGGCAGTGATCATTCTAGAGCAGGCTGAAGGCTGCGGACACACGAGGCTGCGAGGGCCCCAGGTGGCCTACACGGCATCACCGCCGGCAGACGACGGGGACCAGGCGTGTCCCGAGAAGGCTGGCCTACAGTGATCTATAGGCAAGGTCACTCAGCCCTGCTGTGCTGAGGAACAGTGAATTTCCCAAAGAAAAAAAGTCTCCTGCACTGTGGAGAACAAGACACGATAATAACAAGAGGGTCTGACATCTGAGCATAGAGAAATGATTAACACACTGTGGTTGGTTGACTAAGTCCACAAAACATGCCAAATGCCTACCACAGTTGACACTTGTAACTTTAACAGAAAAGCTTTTCAAGTATACCGGGAAGGGCTGGGGGTAGTTTGTAATTTGGGAGCTGAATCCACACTGGTGATGAGCAGAGGGTGTGCGTCACCCTCTGGCCACACTCGGGGGGCTGTATTCAGTCTGAAGTCTGCACATTCAAAATTCTTTATGTCCTATGTGAGCTGGAAAGCCATGCCCCTCCTACCATAGGTTGAATACAATATTGGAAACAAAGGAGTGCAAAAAGTGATCAATACAAAAAGTAAACATATCAGTTTTAATTGTCAAGATTATTCCAGGGCAAGAGTTCACTTCCAATCACTTCTTTCCGGTTCTTGTTCTTCAGTGGTCCAGCCAAGATGATCATTCCAGTTTAATTCTCAAATTCACGCTGGCTCTTCCATGCCCTCCCGGATTTAGCCAAAAGAACGCAGGGGGTGGGGAGGGTAGGCGATCCTGCTGGATTCGCAGCAGCAAATTGTCATTAAGTCCAACAAAACTAGTCATTCTTGGTCAGTTGGCACCTAACGAACCCATCTCACTCTGAGTCCCAAGGTGCAGAACAGATGTGATTTCTTAACCAACATACAGACCTCTTCTTCTTTCCAGTGTTAACTTCCTCCAGTCTTCAGCCGACGGCAAGAGCACATCTGAGGTCATAAGGCCACTCGGATGCAGTGGTGCTTGAGTTTACAAGGCAGGACTCCCTTGTTCAGCTGGTAAAAGTCGACCAGCTGGATCAGGTCAGAGAATTTGGTGTTTCCGTCATCCAGGCTGAAGAACATCTGCCCATCATCCTCACACTGCAGAGACACAAGAACACTTGCCAGGTTAGAGGCCACAGGCTCAGGGAGCGAAGCGGGGCCCGTGGGGAGCAGCGGCTCTGTCCGCCCCAGGTCTGATTCTTAAGGGATACGTGGATGAGCAAGGTAGGCGAGACCACACAGGGGGAAGAAGGCTGGGGCTGCCACGTCCCTGAGTGACAAATGTCGGGTGGGTTACAGGAACCATTGGGGACAGGGACGTCTGGCTTCCCTATTCTTTGGGGTCTCACCCATTGCATGAGGACCAAGCGGCCAGCTAACTTATAAGAACTCACTGCACATAGCATACTCCATGAGGAGTGAACAGACCCAGGTCCTCACTACATGGCCACAGGCCACCTCTTAACAGCCCCTGTAGGCACCTGTGCCTCCTTGAGAAGTAACTGTCACATCACTGTGAGGGGTCAACATGATCATGCAGATAAAGCAACTTTCCTAGGTCCTGAAACATTTTGCAGCTATTTCTCTTTAAATAGCGGAATGCTATATCTTCCAGAAAAAAGTAGAGTCCTATCATCTATTTTAACTCAGAAAGTTTTACAGTCAGTGACTGGAACCCAGTACACAGGTGAACTGGGTCATAAAGCAGGTCAGCTTTAACCCTTAGCTGGTAGTTGAACTTGGAACCATTTCTTAACTCTAACCCCCGCAGCCCGTTTTCAGGCATGGAAGCTGCAAGTCTGCTGTGGTCGGACCCAACTTACTGTTCCTCTGTTACTTACAAGGTTTGGGGTTATTTGGGACAATGGTATTATATACTCTGTCTACCTTGAAATGCTCTTCCATTCTATTTTATTTTTTAAGCTAAGAGAATTACAAGTGCCAACGGTGCAGTGCTGGCAGAAAATCAGAAAGGACTGTGAAAGAGGCACTTTCCTCAGATAGTAATTCCATGTGAGCAGATGCTGTGAGGTGGGATCTGGGGACGGGGTCTGGGCTCCAGCCCAGGCACTGTTCCCTTCCCTCAGCAGGGCAAGTGGCTGACAGCTGGCAGTCTCCTCCTCTCTGAAATGGGGTTATCAGAGCACAGCAGGAAGCAAATGACTGCCCAAGGTGGTGTGCTGGTCCCCAGCTTCCTGGCAGTACATGATGCTTGTGACTGGAGTCAAAAGGCCCAGGGGTCAGGGAAGCTTGGACACTCCAGTAGAACAGGGGCAGCTGGCTCCACTGAGCCTTTTCGAAGGCTTTACTTGCTGACCTGCAGATTCAGTCTCTGAGAGGAAACTACAGACTATATGGCCACTCTTTTTTGGCAGAATTTCCTTGGCATTTCATGAAAAGTTACCTTATTGATCTTTATGAAAAACCTCTGCTATTAATTTTATGTCTCATATCCCCAATTAAACTATGAATTCTTGGCAGTGTTGACTTAACACTCAAATCAAGAACTAGAATTTGAACTTCAGCATATTGAAGAGTGAGCTAAAACCATATTAGACAGATCTAACGATAATCACTCTGTGAAAGAAGTGGTGTTGAGGAAGGTACACCGTGACCAAGTTTCTGAGGTGTTCAAAGGCAGAATCTGTCTTTTGATCCCAGGACTCACAGAAGAAGGAACATGATTCCCTCTAGGGAGCCACCTGTCTGTAGGACAGCTCTCCTATGTCTGCCTCAGTAGCCCCAGTATATGCCAGCACAAATCAGAATGTCCCTTAGACTCTAGTGGTTGCCAGTGCAGTCAAATCTGCAGTACATGCCCATGTTCCTGACCACAGGTGCATATGGCCACTGTGCCCCTTTGCTAACTGTCCTCCTCCCCATCCCCATCCTGTGACCTTGATCTCCCCTGTCAGCTGTCATTTCAGCTGTAACTGGGGGCTCAGAGGCGGGAGACAGGCTGTCACATCGGCACAGTACCACCACTTTCTAGGGCATCGTGACTCCAATTTCAAGAACAAACTGCTAAATAAACTCTTGAAAAGTTTCTCACCTGTGAGCTTGAAACGATGTGACATTTATCAACCTATAGTCTTTGTTAGTTTCTAGCTCAAAAATTTGCATTAAGAATGAAACCAAAAAAATAAAACCATCAGGATGGTTCTGAAAATATTAGTACTTACAGGTAAGATCTGGAAATTTTTAATTTTCTGGTGATGACACAGTGTGAGTACAAATGCCTTTGGATTACTCTGGCTGTCACGGAGGAGAAAAAGCCTAGAGAATAGAAAATAATTGATTGCAAAAAACATTTAAAATCCAAAACTAATTATACACACACACTCTCTCTCTCTTTCTCTAGGAGCAATGAACAGCTTGGAGCCATGAAGCTTTACAGCTTTGGTGTCCAGGTGGCCTCTAGTGGCAGCAGCAAACTCAAATTGCCATTCCCCATTGAAACCAGGATTCCTCTGGGATCTGTCTGGCTCCAGGGATAAGGCAGGGCAACTACAGGACAGAGCTGGAACATGTTGCGCCAGAGAGTCAGGAAGAGCCCATAGAAGAGGGAACATGTCATTAAGACACAGGGGGCAGGCGGCTAAATCTGGGCACCAAAAGGAAGAAGAGCACAGTACTGGATTATACCGAATAGAATGGGAAGCCGAGTCCATGCTGGCATTTACAAGTAAGTGAGCAGACAGGGGAGAAGGGGAAGCTCTAGCTGAAAGGGGAATGTCAAGCCACATAAATCAAAGAATGGTGCATCAGAAACTGCCCTCGGCAACAATGAAGGAGAAGATCGTCCAGGAATGCGAACATGGGCAGGTGAAAGTCGGATGTGAGACAGAAGACTATCTCGCTCTTAAACCATCATACTCCTAATATTTACTACAAAGGGCAAAATAGTAGCCTTCCTGGTAGGTACCACCTTCATCACGTCTTCAAATTAACACCACCAGGCATGACACTGATTGACCTTGAGGGGCCTCCTGGGAGGATGGATAATGCAGCACTGTTCTGGGGTGGTCCCACCCCAAGGGTACAGCCTGAATCCAACCAGGAGGAAGCAGTCCAGCCTAAACCGAGGTGCACTCTGTGCACCAGCTCCCAGGTTACCCAGCCAGGCACTGTGGTGAGTGTCTGTAATCCCAGTGACTCGGAGGCTGAGGCAGCAGGATGCCCACAGACTGAGTCTCAGGTTGCAGGGAGCTATGATGACGCCGCAGTACTCTGCTCAGGGAACAGGGTGAGATTCTGTCTCAGTAAAAAACCCCGAAGAAAAAATAAAAAAAGAACTAGCTTCTGCTTATAACAAGTGTCAGAATTATGAAAACCTGCTGGGACAGCAGAGTATTTAGGACCAAGAAATTTTTTATTATAAAGGGTACAATTGGGACCACTGGCAAAATTTGAATACATGTGTAGATTAGATAATAGAACTGTATCACTGTTAATTCCTGATTTTTATAATGGTACTGTGGTTATAGAAGAGAATTCCTTGATTTTAGAAATTCTGCAATGAAATCATTAGGATTAAAGGGATATCACGCCACAATTACTCCCAGACAGTTCAGGACAAAAGAATAGTTGAGGTTATAAATGTGCTGTAATATTAACAACCGGGGTAGCTAGGTGGAATGTACATGGGAACTCATTGTACTGTTCTCACACCTTTCTACAACCCCTTAAGTATTTCAACAAAAATGTTAAATTAGAATGGCATGAAGAGGTATACAATTATTGCTTTTACATGAAATAATCTAGAATTAGCTAATAAGATAAACAGTTACACATTAGGAAGGAAGAGAAAAAAGTCCCAAAGCCTTATTCCAAGCTACAAAGAAGGAAGATATTTTGAAGGCACTAGAAACCAAACTACAATCATCTGCTAAGTCACTGTTTCTGGTCAAGGGGCTCCATGATGCAGAGGTTTCCAATGGTATGTGAGTACAGATGCCTCCCCCACCCCAGGACCTTTTAAATAGTATTTTGTAGGACTCACGCTCTTTGGAAAACACTTTGGGAAAGTCCAACAGGGGAGGGGTGTGAAGTGCAGACAGGCGGCACAGGGGCTGGCACTGGGGACAGCAGAGAGGCCACACAGTGGGTGAGCACGGCAGGGGGGAGCATCTGCATGGTCCCAGGGGGATGAACAGGAGATAGTGAGGGGTGGCAGGGAGGAGGACAGCTAGATTTGCCCTTAAAAAGACCCTTCTCCTGCAGGCCCTGAGTGGGGTGTGGCGGGCAGGACAGTGAGTGAGGCTCAGGCTGGGGGCACAGGTGCTCACACGATCACCTGCACCAGCGGGTAGGGACTGGATACCAGGGATTTCAGGAACACTCCCCAGGTTGGCTCAGGCTCGGACGTCCCTTCCTTTCCTGCTCTATCTGCTCTCTCCCTGATTCTCTGTATCGTCTGAGACAGAGGATGCAGGACAGGCTGGTGTCACACGGCAGCCACTTTGAACCCTGCGCTGTCTTTCCAAGTGGTTTTCTCTCTAAACTAGTTTGTCTTCATGTTCTCTGCAGGGACCAGTCAAGATTAGGAATTGATTATTTAATGTATCTTGTTCTGCAAACACATTTCCTCCCCAAACCCAGGAATGAGGGGAAGATGAGCGGCCTGAGTGATAGCATCTGAAGTGGCCCCATCACTATCTTTAATTCTGTGTCATGTTAGTGGTTCAGTAGCCTCAGGTGGGAGCTGGTGATGACACCCTTAATGACAATGATGGATTCCAGGGAGGATGGTGAGAAGCACCCGCTTACAAACCAGGCTGATCCCACTAGCAGGTTTTACTTGGGGGGAAGAGAGTTCACAGGTGACGCCCTATCTCCTTACTAGTATGGAAGGATGGATGGGAGCTTCATTAAGTGGAATTCCACTCTAGGAAAAGCTGAAAGACAAACATTGTCGTGGGGGAAAGAGGCTGCCACACAATTCACCTGCTGGCCTGCAACGTGCCCCACCCTGCACCCTCCCAGGGGTGGCCCTCTTAATTCAAAGCAGGCCAGGGTGGGCCTTCTCTTAGAACCACATAGCTGGGAAGCTTCTTTAAAACATACATGTCCCACCATCCCCTACTCCCTCCCCCTCCCCTGGCCTGATATTGGGACACTTCTGCTCCTCAATTGACGCAGCCCCATTGTCCTTGACCCTGGGAAGGATACTTCTTGGCCACACCACCAAACTAAGCCTCCTGTGGGGCCTTCACTCTCCAGCAGAAAAACATCACGTGGGTGGCAAACCAGCTTGGCCTCCATAGGACAAGTGCCAGACAGCTGGGTTAGTGGTGACACCTCTGCCCCCTTGCAGGCCAGTTTTGAATTAGCTCAGGGCTGTAAATGAGTGTGGACTATAGGAACCCCAGGAAGTAACCCCTCCCATAAACTCAAAATGTCACAGAAAGAGAAATTTCAAATATTAGGCTTTTCATTTCTTAGGTGTGCCAGAAACTTTAGAGAAAAAAACATACTTTTTTATAGTTATGGGGAAAGTCATTTTTAATGCTTTAACAAAGACTGCTCTATGACAAAGCTGATGTAGCAGGTAAGTGTCTGGGAATGAGGTTATAGCCACATGGCAAACAATAAAATTAAGACCCTTTCTTTACACAGTACATAAGGACGAATACGTTCCAGATGCATCTGGGATCTAAACAAAAACAAAACTAAAACCAAAAATGAACAAATAAGGAAGGAAGGAAGAAAAAAATTAAGAATGGAAGAGAGAAGGTAGGAAAGAAGGAAGGAAGGAGAAAGAGGAAAAAATCAAATAAAGCACTAGAACAAAGAGAACAACTCCCTTTAGGATTTACAAGTGAGAAAAACAAAAGAGCCTGAAACTTTAAAGGAATAGATTAGAAAAATGGGCTAAAAGTATAAACAAACTGTTTGGGATCGCCAAAAGAGAAGAAAATGCGAACAGCCCTAAGCACACGGGAAGACTCGGCCCGCAGAGCTCAGCTGTGCTGCTGGGGGTGCTGCTGGGGAGAGGCTCTAGGAACCGTCCTGATTGCTGACTTCTGGCAGGACGACTGCAGGGCACAGACCCTGCCGAGGGAAGTCTGGCTGTACTTCACCACAGCATGTCAGCCTTCCCCTCAAACCCACACTCCCACTGGGCAGACTCACCGGCAGAGTTATGAATGACGCAGCACTGTCTGTCATGACATGCCTGGCAACAAGCCACAGGCCCTGCAATGGAGATCGGCTGTAAAAACTGATGTTCTATCTACATAAAAGAACCTGGGTGTGGAAAAGAAACTGCAGTGGGCCGGTCCTCAGGACTCCGGTGGGGCAAGTCTGCACAGGGGCCGGTGTGCTGCCTTGGTTTAAGGAGAGACCGAATATAAAAACAAGTGTGATTTGCTTATATGTCTAAAATGACAGAAGCATCAACAAACAAGAGGAAACGTGGTCACAGATTGGGGTACAGAGGCAGAGTCGTTGACAGAGGAGGTGCCCAATTTTATAGGCTTGACTCAGAACCAGGGAAAAGCAGCACCTAACCACACAAAATAGTCAAATCCACTTACAAACACCAAAGAACCTGAGACAAAGCCTGACATGAAACAGTCTGGTGACAGAACCACAGAGAAGAAGTCACTTTAGCCACGGTCATTTAGGGCAACCTGCCTGGAATAATCTTTACAGATTAGAGGGACTGCAAAGAAATATCAATTCAGGCTCGGCGCCTATAGCTCAGCCGGCTAAGGCGCCAGCCACGTACACCTAAGGTGGCAGGTTCGAATCCCCAGCCCGGACCCGCCAAACAACAATGACGGCTGCAACCAAAAAATAGCCGGGCGTTGTGGCAGGCGCCTGTGGTCCCAGCTACTTGGGAGGCGGAGGCAGGAGACTCGCTTGAGCCCAGGAGTTGGAGGTTGCTGTGAGCTGTGATGCCACGGCACTCTACCCAGGGGGATAGCTTGAGGCTCTGTCTCAAAAAAAAAAAAAAAAAAAAGAAATATCAATTCAGGAGTCATATTGAATATAAGACACTAGATCTTCTCAGTGTGTGTCAGCATACACACTTATATAAATAAATTAAGTAATTATGTTAATGCCGTTAGTAACTGAGATCTTTAGAGTAACAGAAAAGAAATACAACAAAAGCAAAGAAATAAAAACCTTCTGATCTCAAAGTTGAATTAGCAACATCAATGTGAACCCCAAATATTTATTTTTTGGTTTAACAAAAGACCCGAACACGGCGGCCCCCAGATGCACCTGCCTCTAGAAAGAATCAGGGCTCCTACGAGAATGTGTCACTTGAGCCTAAGCTCCTTTGTCGCCTGTGAAATCAAACATTGTAGGTTTGAGGTCCAAAGAACTCAGGAACCAACTTGAAAGGCCATGGCCAGTGTGGGTCAAAGTGAGCATGAAGGAGAGAAAGAAATGTTGGCTGAAACCAGTCAAACCATAAAGTTCTAAGTTCAGAGTGAAAGCTTAAACAAAACCAACCAAACAAACCCAAAGATCCTTTGTCTGTCAGCAGTGGAAGAAGGCAGAACATAAGCCAACTCATCATTCTGAGAACTGACCTGTTTGTCACAGCAAAAATCAAGCATGTAGCTGCTTCTCCCAGAAAATGAAACATGTGATGGGGAAAGGACGTCAGCCCATAGAGGGAATCAGATGATGACAATTTGGGAACCCTAATGAAACATTAACCTGGGCAAGTGCCCCAAACGCTGCCGAAGGCATCAGGCAGACAGGGATGAGAGACTTTACTAGGGAAGGCTCAGGACCGCTGCGTTCAAACCTGGGCTCAACCCTAATGCGACTACGTAACTAAGCAGGGGAGGGGCACAGGGGCCACAGGGACCACAGCCAGAGCAAGTGTGCATTTAATCAGCTTCTGACCACCAGGAATAAGGGAGACAGGAATGTATCAAAAGAAACCACAAGCGTGTGATTAGCAAACAACTAAAAGATCAGGGAAAAAAGAAGAAAAGGGAGAGAGACTATTCTAGACTTCAGGACTGTCCTGATAAGGCAGATCCTAACTTTAATTTAATTTAAAGAACTTTCTGCATGACAACTGGGGAAATCTGCACATGGATTGGCTCTTAGATGACAGTAAGGAATTCTTGTCCTTATTTTTTAGAGACACCCATTGAAGTGTATTTTCCTGGTAAGATCTGTATAGCTGGGATTTCCTTTAAAATAGAAGGAAGACGAGGAGACCAAGGAGAAGGAAATGTGGGAAGAAGAAGAGATGAAAAAGACAAAAGGGTGGTTCTTTGTATTCAGCAGTTTCCAAGAACCTGTTTTTTGAGCAGAGCAATGTGGGGCAGCTCCCACGGGAAGGGCCAGCGCACCTCACTCACTCAGGGCTCCCCCTGGGAGCATAGAGAGCTGACCCCATAGTAGGGGCCCTCAAACTTTTTAAACAGGGGCCAGTTCACTGTCCCTCAGACTGTTGGAGGGCCGGACTGCGGGCCAGGATGAGTCAGCTGCTAAGCAGGACAGGCAGCAACAGCAAAAACACCCGGCGGGTGGGATAAATGTCCTAGGTGGGGCGCATGTGGCCCGTGGGCCGTAGTTCGAGGACCCCTGCCCTCAGTGTTGGCAGATGGTAACTGGACCCCATGTCCCTGCCTATATCCACCCCCTGGGCAGTCCCTTCTCAGATAAGCTGAGTGTGGCCTTGGGATCTGGTGTGGCCAATGGGACAGCAGCAAGCATGATGCAGCCAGAGACCTGGGAAGCCTACCAGCTCTGCACCAGGTCCGGCCTCTCATGCTGCTCCTAGAGCCCAGTGACACCCCGTTGTGAATGACTCCAGCCAACCTGCCCAGTCACCCTGTCACCAGTGCCGACAGCTTACACTGTCCACTGTCCACATGTGTGAAGCCACCCTGGACAGTCCAGCTGCAGCCAAGCAGGCCTGGGTGAGCAGGGCCACTCAGAAGCTGGCAGCTGAGACACATGGCAATACGGTTTGGGGCTGTCTGATAAAGTGCATGGATCTAAAGGCGCAGGAAGACATTTTTTTCTCTTCTTTGTCCACTGTCTTATGAAGGTGAAGCAACTAGCTTGTGTTCATCTGCTCAAGTTTCATCTCAAGAGTTAATTACGGACACCATCTAGACACATGTGGATTACAATCCTTTTCTGCCCCTTCGCTGGGCAAGCTCTGTACCCCACTTATGCTTCTAAGCCTGTGCTTTCTCCCCTTTAAAATGAGGATGAAACTACCGCCTCTGCCGCAAGGATGTCTTAGGCCTTAAACAGAATACAGCCTGGCACAATCAACCTTGGCAGACGCTGGCTCTCAGCAGCGCAGGCTCCTTACCCGTCCACAAGCCCTTGCTGTTTAATGATCCGGTGGGATTCCTCCCTGGAGATCCTCCCGTGAAACCAGTGCTGTGTCCTGTGGATCACTGTGGGGCAGGAGAAGGGGAAGGTGGGACAGTGGCACCCCTGCTGAAGGGGTCTCCCGGCAGCACAACCAATGTTCATGAACCTCAAGCCCCCACCCCTGGGCTGCCCCTTGCTGTTACACTCTGGGCACTTGGCCAACCTTGGGAAGCTGAGGGATGGTGGAGGGCTGGGAGCCGTTTGATTTTATTCAGGTAAAGGAACATCCGGAGCCAGGGCATGTTTACCTGTACTTAGGGTAGAAGGGTGGAGGGGACTTTGGCTACTTAGGATATTCATCCGTGTGCTTCGCTTCTGCAAGAGAAACCCCATGTTAATTCTGAGGACACAGACGGACACCCCAACCTCAGGGCAGGCTGGCTGGGCAGAGCTGCAGGCTCAGGGGAGGCTCTGCGTGCCTGAAGCCCATCCCGCCACTGAGAATGAAGAGCTTAGTATCCCGCTTGCTAGAAATCAAACCCATGATGTCCTGGTGTATATGTCCGGCCATCTCAGCACTGAAGGAGAGACACTTGCTTCTCACATCAAGATGCCAGGAACATCCTGATACCCCTTAGGATAAGCTGACAAATACATGAGCTTTTCTGTTTAACTCCAGCAGTTCTCAAGACATCGGTCTCTGGAACCCTGGTGCTTGGGGATGTTTTCCTTCCTCCCTATCCTCTGAAGTTAATGTGCTTTCCACACGGCCTTTATGTTTCATGAGAACTTGGGAGTTGGGTGAAATCTTCTTCCCATCTAGAGATTAAGAACTTGACCCTGGGGATGAAGGAACTGTCTGGGGCCTCAAAGCCCTTAGTGGTGGAGCCACGATGTGAATGCCTGGAGGCCTTGCAGGCCTGGGCTTGGTGGGCTCCACAGGAGATGGTGACAACTTATCACCAGAACAGCTCTACACACATGCTGAGGAAGGTAGAGCCTGGGGGACAAAGAGGCAGTGGGAATAGCTGGGTGAGGAACCCTGGAGATGCCTGCAGGTGAGTACTCTGAAGCCCCCAGGAGACAGCCCACACCTGCCCACTCGCAGAGCCACTCTCCGGGAGAAGGCCAAGCCTTGGGGCGAGCACCTCGTCTACCAGGGACCTCTCCCAGGCGACCTTACCCTCCAAGCGTGGCCCTCCTCCAGGGCTGCGCTCTGGGCTTCAGCAGGATTCTCTATCACGCGCCCTGTTTGCCCAGAGAAGTCCATTGCCACAAGGGAGTTCTCAGAGACGCTGCGCTGGAAAGGAAGGACCACAAGGTCTTCAGATGTGGGGAAGTAAGTCACTGCAGGATGATGGGACATCTTAGCATGAAATAATCAGAGAGAACGTCCCATCGGGCCACCTCTGCACTCCTGACATTTCAGGTTGAAAATTCCTTTTTTGAGGTGGGAAATTCAGTGGCCTTTGAGATAAAAATGACTTTGGTCTTTCTTAATAAGAATAAAGATCATTCCACGTCTTCTCTGAGCATTCAAAGAAGGCACCACGGCCACCAAGTGCCAGGAGGACAGAGGCCATATGGCCTCCCCCAGAAAGCAGACAGAAATGCCAGGAAAAGCCTGGTCCTCAAAAGTCACCCCTCAGCTGTGTGAGTTCAGGGGACATGTGGACTTTCTGTGGTGTCATCTGACATCTTGCAATAGCAAACCTTGCAGGACCTTTAAGATCGTATTTTAAGAGGGAAAAGTGTTTCTGCCCCCTTGGGAAGTGAGGGACATGTGGGAGCACAAGAGGGGTGACTATCATCTCTAGGTTCTCACCAGGGGATGACTGGAACCTACAGGCCAGCAGCACTGCTGAGTCCCACGGCTCAAAGAAATGAAAGCCAGAGGCAGGGGAGGCTCTGACCAGAGCTGAGACTTGCTGCTGACATTTCCCCGTGCTTAAAGACAGCCATGAGCGAAACAACCCCCCAGGGGTACAGTATTCAAGGATGGGACAAGGATGGTGCAGAAGCTTGCTCCCCACAGTCACACTGCTGGGGACATACCGGCTCCCCTGAAATGTGCACGCTCTTTCTGGAGCTTCTCTTGGCCATCCCGTGTGAAATGAGACATTTCATTAACACATGAGGACACAGCAGCTGGAAAAGACACTGGAGTCTGGAAGGTGCTGGCTTTACTTACCACTGGTGTGGAGAACGGGGCCAGCAAGGCCTTCCTCTGCTGAGGGATTCGATAGTTCTGGTAAAGGAGCATCCCGTACTGTGGGGGAGACCAGAGTTAGTCAGTAGCCCAGGAGCCCCAACATGCAGCACGTGCCGTGCCGTGCCAGAGCTATGCTGAGCACACAACAGACGACAACACCGTGTAACCTCTGAGATGAAAAGGTTGTAGCCTACAGTACAAAGGATACTTGAATGAGGTCAGGGACACTGCCCCCTCCAAAGTCGAAAATCTGAGTATAACTTGTGACTCCCCCAAACCTTAACTCAGAAGTTTACTGTTGACTGGAAGCCTTACCAATAATAGAAAGAGGCAATTAGCAGATATTTGTATGTTGTATGTATTACATACCATATTCTTACAACAAAGGGAGGTAGAGAACAGAAAATGGCATCAAGAAGGTCACAAAGAAGAGAAAACACCTTCACAGTACTGTATTTACCTGTACCACAAGTTTACATAGTTTGTTTATGAGATGAATCATCTGTCTGATACGGGGTGGGGGCAGACATCCAATCTACACTACATGTCAAACAGTTCCAAGTTTTTCTTGTAATGTTGTGCCTGTTCTCTGCTTCTTGGAAGAACTTCCAGCATCACCAGTGGCACGTCCTGTGGGTCCCACAGGTTACCCAAGAACCTTGTGAGACCACATCTTACTACAATACGCATTTGCTGAAGAGACCAAGCAGAGATAACTAGGGTCACACAGCATTTTAAGTGGATGCCTGCAGCACTTGAGCTCATCACAATAGCAGGAGGTGGCTACAGAATCATGATAGTAGCGCAGAATACGCTGCAGTTAATATGCGCAGTTACACTTTAATACTAACTATATCCTTACTTTTATCTTGATTACAGGTGGCGCCATGTGTGGTCTGTTAAGAGTCTGCATGCTAAGTTTTGATAAATTCTAACATTTTATAATATGTTTGCATATATTTTATGATAATAAATGATACAGACTAGTGTAAAATAGACTAGTATCTGCATATATTTTATGCATTCGTGATGTATGTTTCTCTTTATTTTTTAATATTTCTATCCTAATAGTTTGTGAAATTTTATAAATTGTTGCACATGTCAAAAAATTTTTTTAATACAGTAGAAACTCTTGTTAGGTGACCATCTAAGGGACTGTAACTAACTGGTCAACATAAGGCTCTAGGCCTAATTTATAAAAATTAGGTCAACTGAAGGAGGTCGTCAATGAAGGGATGTGGTCAATCGTGGAGGTTCTATTGTATATTTTTTGGAGAAAAGATGCTTGTACACATGGACTCCCACAGTTCAGAGCTGTGCTGTTCAAGGGTAAAGTATGGATCCAGTATGGTGCCCATCTCAGTTCTGTGGCTACTACTGCCCCACAGGAGGTAAGAGCTGACTGGTTTCGAAATAAGCAGGGCAGGGCAGTGACGGATATATATAATAGTTATATCAAGAACAAGTATGCCATTGAGTGCTACTGTGGGTGACATACTATTCTAAGTACTTTGTGTTATTACTTTACTCCTCTCCATTTTTTCAGCTATGTAATATAATTATTGCCTTTTTACAGAGAACAGCATCGAAGCATACAGGAATGAAACAAGTTGCCCAAAGTCAGGATTCAGGATCCACATGTGTGCAGCCTGCTCCAAAACAGTGCTCTCCCAACCACCAGGCTGCTGCCTAATCAGCTTAGAAGCCTTGCTTTGTTCAGCCCGGCAATAAGGACTAAGGGCTCTGCAAAGCTTCATCCCCATGCAACATCCCAACCTGAGGAAATTCTCTTGAGTTTCCTACTCAAACCACTGAGAAAAGAAAAAAAAAGTCAGAAACAAAAAAACCAAGTTGTCAAGTCAGCTGCACCTTCCTCCTGACCTTCCTTCATGGGATGTGCGCTCCATCCCACCTCGTATACACTCATTTCTAAATTAAATTCGCATAGTATATATTCATTTCTAAATTAAAGATATTTGGAACATGATGAAGAGTCTAACATTGGTACAGCAGCACTCCCATGAGAGAAGAAGTGTGGGAATGAGTCGGAAAAAATATGTGAAGAGATAATGGCCAAGAATTTTCCAAAACTGACAAAAAGGCATCCAGCTTCAGATTCAAGGGTAAATAAACCCACACCTAGGCATACCACTGCTAAAAAAACAGAGATAAAGAAAATGTCAAAAAGCAACCAGAAAAAAAGGACCATTTTCCAAGAAGCAAGTGGAAGACAGCTGATATTTTTACATAAATGATAAGATCCAGAGTACAACGGAATGGGAGAGAAAGCAGAAGAGAATAACTGCTGACTGGCACCCATGACCATGTAACTGCTGACTGGCACCCATGACCATGGAAGAGTCTCTTCAACCATGAAGGTAAAACCAAAGTTGAGACTATTTCTTAGGCCAATATGAATAAAATTGCTAAGATGAGTCCTTCTAGGTCCAGAGAGAAGAATGCCCGTCAGAAAGTGGGACAGTTGCTAGACTGTAGGAGATTTTTATAGGTCAAGATGCATGCTGTATGTTACCCTAGACATTTTTCAGGGTAAACCCTAGAAAATAGTAAATTGAAGATGTGGAGGGAGAACGTCAATCATACTGGTTGAGTTTCCCCTGCCACCTCCCAGGGTGGATGCAGCTTTTCTCTTTTGTACGTCAGCGGTGCCGAGTGGAGCAGCTGCCTGCCCTTCCCCTCAGATGGCTGCTTTGCTGAGCATCTAATTTAATCACTTTTAAAACCCACATCATATAAAACCAAAGCAAACACGCCTATGGAATCTTGCATGATAATGTAAGACCTCCACCTTCTTGAGGGATAATTACTGTAGAAGTCTAAGAATGTTCTAGAAGACAGAGGGAGGAGGAAAGGAAGTAATAAATAATTGTTGAAGAGTTTTACTGCTCCTGGAACAGCCTGTATAGTGTCTAAGAAATCACTTAACAAAGGATGTGATAGAAAGGAACAAGGCACAAAAGGTTACCTGCGGCACCATCTTAGAAGAGCGTCTTTCTCTAAAGCCGTGTGCACCAATGCTAGGCTTTGACCCACGATGTAGGTCAGAGCTGTAAGATTTTTTTATGTTTTTAAAGAAAGTATAACTGTAGGTACTTAAAGATATAAGAAGGTCCTAGTCTAATCCCGTCCCAAATATCCCCAGGATTTTACTGTGATCAAATTTCCATTTCAATACCGCTGATGCTGATTCTTCATCCACTGCACAGAAATGATAACTGGACAGAGCTAGGAATGGGCAGGTGGGGAAGACAATTCTTTACAATTCAATATTCAGGGTCTCTATATTGCTAACTGTCACAAAACAGGCCCTCTCATGTGTGTCCTCCACTTCCTGTAGATGGGAACACAAAAATCTGATCTGATCCACTTTGGGGGCTCAAGAGTGTCTGAGAGGCTAAAGCTGACAGGGACCCCTCCCCACTTACTGCAGACAAGATCTTCATGTCAACCATGAAAACACATAACCCAAAGTTTCTTTAGTCTGTGCTGGTGAGATGTCATGAAGGCCTGGGAATCAGACTGTTTGAGGGGGATCTTACGGCATCTTTAGTCCAACTGGTTGTCTCTGGCAGTGACATCCAGCAGATGAGGCAGACACAGTAACAAGCCAGGAAAGCCCAAAGCCAGAGATGCAAGTTTCAGCTGATTCCCATGTTCACCCAATTCAGTTTTCCAGAGGATCTATTATGTTCCGAGTGCTAACCAGTCCTTATTCCCAGAGAGGACGCTGGAGGGGAGCCAAGATGCCACCCAGACCCATGAACCACAGCGAACCAGGGAAATTCCTGCCGAGGCGGGTCCAGCCCCAGCCCCTCCATGGCTCCTGCCTCCTCATTGAGGAGGCCAAGACCGACCATGGACTTGAGTTGACAGTCACATCCAAAAAGGGCCTGGGGGAAGTAGCAGGGACAGGAAACGGATTTCATGTTCCCTGACAGCTTCAAAAGGCACAAGTCCCTGAAGTCCACACCTCATTCTGGAGGCCCTGTGGGACGCAGGGTGGGGAGGTCACCATGGATCAGCAGCTCCCTGTTATGGCTCCCCTCCTTGTCAGACCAAGACAGTCTGACAAAGGGCAGGCCGGGAGGAGAGGGACTGGGATGTCAGAATGAATGGTAGCTGCAGACAGGAGAGGCCTGGTCATGGCAACAGACCTGGGCCAGAACTAGCTGGGACAGAAATGTGCAAGTCAACTTTTTCATTCCACTGTCCCCAAAGCCTGTCCCTGTCATGTGCCTGTTAGGTCCAGGCCCCCACCCTCCTAGAAGAATGGCACTAGCATGTCTCCTTAATGTCTTTAAGTCTAGGGATCGCTGATGCAAAGTGCTCTCTGCAAAGTGGCCAGGGCAACAGCACCATGTTTAGAATCAGATCTGTAGCTTCCCAGTGGTCTCAAGGAGGACAGCCAAGTGTGATAGTTAGAAGAGCTTGCCTGCATCCTGAATGCTGGGGCTCTAAGCCTGGCTGCATTGCATTCCAGCAATCACACACAGTTCTGTCGCCTGTACAGTGAGGATGACTACAGCATTCATGTCCCTGAGCTGTTGTGGGAGTAAAGTGATAACGAGCTGCTGGCCCACAGTCAATGCTCAAGACATGTTGACAACATCACAGAACACCTTATCCTGAACAGGATCGTCACCAGTCAGGATCGTCACCAGTCAGGATCGTCACCAGTCAGGATCGTCACCAGCCGCTCTGCACACACCCTCACCTCTGGCTAGTTACGGCACAAGAGGAGTGACACCTGCTCTTTCTCACAAATTAATGGTTAAGAACTGGCCACCAAGGGTGGCGCCTGTGGCTCAGTGGGTAGGGTGCCAGCCCCATATACTGTGGGTGGCAGGTTCGAACCCGGCCCTGGCCAAACTGCAACAAAAAATAGCTAGGTGTTGTGGCAGGCGCCTGTAGTCCCAGCTACTTGGGAGGCTGAGGCAAGAGAATCACCTAAGCCCAGGAGTTAGAGGCTGTGAGCTGTGATGCCACAGCACTCTACCAAGGGCGATAAAGTGAGTCTCTGTCTCTAAAAAAAAAAAAAGAACCAGTCACCAGGCCCAAACTAATAAAATCTATAGCTTCGAGAGTGACCTACCTCATTCCTCTTATTTCCTTTCCTGCCACTTCCAAAATAGATGATTCATTTGCAGATAAAAAAGCAAAATCAGACATAAAATGTCAGAAGCTTCTCTCTGGCCGCTGCCCTGTGGGCACAGCTGTCTCTTGTCCCCTCTCACACAGCAGCCCTGGGCACACCACAAACACAAACCTCCCAATCCTCCCCAGCAAATGTGGAGTGCTCTCTCTACACTGCTTCACTCTTTGCTTTGAATTGTTAATTTTTTTGCAACAGAACACAAAAGCAACCCCATTCCTCTCAACCAACATCCTGTTACAAGTTGAATCAGTTCTCACTGATGACAGAGCTAAAGCTGGCTGGTAAAGGTGTCCACAATGTATACTAACTCATTCTGACATCAACATTTCCATTTCTGTATGAGTTAGTAAAATTTTGATTCTAATACTTCTTTAATAGTGGAAAAAATAAAACCACATAAGGTTGAGAGAGAGAAGCAGGAAGCTGACGGTGCAGCTGCTGCTCTGTGGTACTATGAAGCGTTTTGAGCCGTGTCCCCTTTGACTCTTCTGTCCCCTTATCTAACTTCACCTTGACCCTCTCTATCAGCTAAAAGGCCACTGTAGTTCCACAAAGGTTGGGAACTTCTATAGAGGTCCCCAGACCACTGCACACGTGGGGCACAGCTGACTAAATTAATGACTCCTCCAGAGGCCCCTGGATGTCAGCCAAGTTGACGGCAATCCCTAACTTGCAGCCCACATGGACTTTACAGACACAAGTAATTCTAGACACGTGGGACACTGTATGTGTACAGAGGAGCACTGTATGGGATACCCGGGGACAGGCACTGTACTATGACATTCTTAGTGTCACCAAACGATTACAGGGATGAGCTCATGACACCTCTCTGAGTGTGCTGTCTGGGCAGAATCCCAAATGGGGCTCCTGAAATAGATTTCTTTTAGAACCTCCCCTCGGGAGACGCCATCTCCCCTGAAGGGCTGCAGTGAGCCGTGCAATTCACTTTATTTCCCCTGTGCCCTTGGCTTTGTGGGTAGCTGAGAGTCTGCTCAGCCAGGAAACAGGGAACCTCCTCACAAACTATTTCCTTTCTTGCCTGGTTTTCCATCCTATTCCTCTAACCCAGTGGTTCTCAACCAGGGGCCACAATTCCCCGTCCCTGCGTCCCAGGGGACACTTGGCAAGGTTTAGAGACATTTTTGTTGTCTCAGCAGGTTAAGGGGTGCTGTTGGCATCTAGAGAGCAGAGACCAGGGACATTTTGGAACATCCTACTGTGGCCAAGATGGTCCCAGCCCCCACATGTCAGTGGAGCTGAGGTTGGAAAACCTGGCTCTACCCTGCTTACTCTGAAGCCCTCGTCAGAAACTCCTGAGGTCTTATTAGAAAGCTATGTACTACACTTGATAAATAAAATACTGTGACAGGACCTTGGAAAAGTTACGAGCATCCCCCTGCCAGAGCAGACCCCCGCTGCAGCTGGTTCTGCAGGCAGCACGGCCCTGCTGGGTGGCCGTACCTTGAGGAGCCGGAACGCTGTTATCCAGCACACACGGCTCTGCTCGTCCTCCGCGCACAGCAGCCTCAGCTCTTTAGCTTCATTCCGAACTTTGTTTGGCTAAAGGAGGTAAAAGAGTCAAATCAGTGCAACGGTGGGTCAGAAACACTCCTGTGTCAGGGTGGGGCTCACGGCACACAGCCAGGGGTGACAGGCTGGATGCCACCCACACGAGGGGCTCAGCGGACCCATGAGGGGGCAGCTGGACACGGGGCTCCTGGCCAGGCTGAGGGGGGCAGTCCCCACGTCATGTCTGAGCTGCCCAAACAAAGGTCCTCACGTGGGAAGTGCAGAGAGTGGGAGTGGGAGATGGAGGCCCGAGGCGGGGCTCCCAGTGAGGAGGGGCAGCTGCAGGGACAAACTGGCCTGGGCCTCCTCCAGGACCCTGGCCCCAGACTCAAGGACAGCGTGGAGAGTGATGCTGCCCCAACTCTCTAGCTCAGGAATCTGGAGGGGCTACGGGACACAAGTGATCACCCCAGCCAGGCTCAGCAGGCACTGCCAGCAGGACTGGTCTGCAGAGAGACATGAACACAGCTGGTTCAGCAGTGGATAGGGTCGGGGGGGCGCCGGCTGCCAGGCCCCCTCTCGAGCTCCACCTGAGAGGCTGCCTCTGGCCTTGGCCTGGTTTGAAGTAGATCTTATTGCTAACAACCAAAAGAGCTTCCTGAGTGAGGTATAAGTGACTATAGGATGGAATCTTCTTCCTGTTACCCTCAGGACGGGGCTGGCGTAGAAGTCAGCCCACAGGGTGAACTCCAGGAACAACCACTCACCGGCTGTCCGGTGGGGGCTGCGAGGCCAACTTAGCTCCTACCCCACAGGTTTCTACAAAGACTAAATAGGTGAATGACGCAAAACCCTCAGCCAGCATCTCGTGCAGTACGTATGCAGGAAATGTCACCCACCACATGGTTGCCAATATCACCACAACCAGGGAAGAAGGGCGGGCCTGGGCCATAGGTGTGTGCATGGGTCTGTATGTATGTGTGTGGGTGTGTGTGCACACGCGTGTACATGCCATCTCACACATGCATGCAGAGCAGGGGTGTCCTGAAATGCATATTAAATATAAAAACACTAACGAAAACTAAGGAGCAAAAAGAAAAAAAAAAAAAAGGTCCGAGGACAAATTTTGTGGCATTTGACACCATAGGTAAGCAAAATAATCCTCACAAAATCAGGGCCACAGGCTGGACGCCCAAGAGATCACAGGACAGCATTGTGATGCTCTGAATCTAACTGCCCACGCCCAGAAGCCCACACAGACGGCATCAGCCCACTCAGTACCATGGAGGCACCAGGGACAGGCTGGAGGTCCTCCCCTAATCAGCTTCCTCCTTCCACTACTACTCCTGGCTAAATAAGCCTACTCCACAAGCCCTAAGACACCAAACCCACTAGTGTCACTCGTCACCCGTCTGCTTTTCTCCCAGCTCCCAAGTGCCTTTGGCCAGCGGCGCACAGCTCTGGGTCCACACCTTTATGCACAGCCCATGGTCGGTGGGAGCGCTGTACTGCTTACGGCCAGCGATCAGCGAGAAGACGTTGCTGTCCTCCAGGTCAGCCAGCAGCTGCAGGTGCCTGGGTTCCTATGAAAACACCAGCCAGGCTTAAGAAAAGAGAACAGGTCTCGGGCACAGCCAAGAGCAAATGTTTTCACACGTGTTGGTCGAAAGAGGGCAGCTGGAAGAGGTCCGATCCTGCTGACATTTTAGAGGTTAGAACCACAGTGTGAAACACTGTTAAATTAAAACCAAACCCACCCAGCTCTCACTCAGAAAGCCCTCCTCCTAAATCCTTGGACACTGCTGAGATGTATTTGCCACTTCTACCCCATGACCAAATAAGGTAAAAACCAGGAAAAATTTGCAACCCAAGGGTCAAGGTGCACGCCTTCAACAGCAGGTCCGCCCTGGGTGTGCTGTGTGTCCAGTCTTGGGGTTTCACATCAGTGGCTCGTCCCACCCTCTCGCACTTCATCTCTCTCTCCTAGTTCTGTTTCCTGCTCCAGGCCCCCAATCCTCCTGGCTTTTCATATGTGTGTATGGTGACTAGGCCACAGAGCAGAGCTATGAGGCCAAGATGTCACCCTGCCCTGCCTCAGGTCAAAGCCCCTCTCTGAAGATAATGGCCCTGCCCCTCTCTCTGGCTTGTGTGGAAGGTGCTGACTTCCAGAGCCATACTCAGTGCCTGGGGCCCACCAGCTCCTTGCTCTTCTCTGCCGGCAAGAACAGGTGAGCCCACAGCTCTTAAAGGTAAATGCTTGGCCAAGGCTGGCAGGGCAGGGCTCCCACACAGTGTGTGCACAGGACAGTCACAGCAGGAGAGCAGGGAAGAGTGTGAGAGGCCGAATGAGGCCCCGTCTGAGCCCATGACACCACCAGCTCTCTTCTGATGTTTGCAGCTACTTTCTGTCTCTCAAGCAACAGTGCAATTTATTCCATAAAGTACCTACAATAATACAAGTTAATTCGGCATTATAAATGGCTAGCTTGGATCCCAAATTATGAGGACTAAATCTGTCTCTGACGGGACTGAACAGACAAGAGAGGCCACTCCCAACCCACAGTGGGCCCAGTGGGGAAGTGGGAGGGTGCTGCCTGCAGTGTCCTTTAGTTATGAGGTCAGCTGGCAGACCAGTGATGCTAATCTCAGTTGTTGCACAGCTAGTTTAAGAGTAAGTTATCACAAGCTTGGAGGAGTTGAGGCTTTTAAAATGAAACCCAAGTTCACTCTGCACACTCCCAGCCCAGCGTGGCTGGACCAGCAGCAGAGCTGGTGCAGGTGGGTGTCACAACTCACCTTTGAAGTCCCCTTTGTGGAGCAATAAAGGCCTGATCTGCGCAAACACACGTACAACTTTTTCCATGATTTCTTCCCCAGCTCTTTCACATGCAAAAATCCTTGAATTTCAGGACAACTACTAGAGTTGAGAAAATTCTGTGGAAGAGCAAATTTTAAAAAATCAGACAATGCTAACCCAAAATAATTAAGGTGAGTAAGTTCTTAGCATCGCTGACATTTTCTGAATTATTAGAAGACTTAATAATTCAGGTCTAACCAAGAATTTTACCCTTTCAAAAGTCTTGAAACTCCATCTAACTTGGTGTTACACAGAACTTAATTAGTACTGAAACACACACAAGCAAATGGGCCTCACACTAGTGAAACACAAAGTTATTAATTCCTGTGGACAGACAGCACATTGAAGGACTCTTCCCCTTATTCTAGCTTCTCATAAAATAGCCAATCTGATCTTCAGAGTGAGGCCAAGAGCAGCTGATGTGGGGTGCTGTGAACTGAGACTGAGCACCCAGAGACTATTTTTACCAGGTCACCCCCAATAAAAGGGTGTGTGAAAGACGTCACCTGTCTGCACACTTGGTACCTGGGATGCCAACGACACCCTCGTCCCAGTTAAATCCTCACAGAGGCAGCCTTAACAGCAAGGCTTTACTGGAAAAAAACATGCTTTTATAGGGGAGAGAGCAAGGTCATGGAACAGAGTCAAGGAGATAGCATTGCAGATCCTGTCCAGAGGGGAAAGAGCTCCTACCCCACAGTGGGGACAGGCTAGCTGAACAGAGAGCCCTGGTGCACCTAGGTCTAGTTCTTCCAGAGCCCCAGGGATCATGCACACCCTTCTAAGGCCCATGAATCTTCTCAAAGTCAAGGCAATGGCAAAGAATGTGCCATCTCACTGTGCCCCGTCCAGTGATGGCAGCTGAGTGTCGATAAACGCGGAAGAGACAAATGCCACGGTTGGGGCTTCTGAAGACACCAGCAGGGCAGAGCTCCGAAGCGCTTACCTTTTAGATGGTGAAAGAAATCTGGAGACAACGAAGCAGGGAAAAAGGGCTTATGGGCAGAATTTTGCAGGAACTAAACTGTAGTAGTTTCTCTTACATCTGATGACACCTGGATGCTGTTGATTGCTTTAGGGAGTGGTTTGTTCTGCCCCGGAGCAAGCACACCTAGGGTGCACCTGTAACACTCCCCTCCCCCATCCATGAGCCTGAGGAGGAGCAGGTGTCGGCACTGAGCATGGCAGCTCTGCCGGCCCCACCAATGGAAGGGACACTGGGGAAAGACCAGGCTTCCCTAGAAAGATAGCCTCACTGAACATGGGTTTCCTTATTTTCAATGTATGATAAGGCATGTTACAAAGGACGTCCCAATAACTCAATCACTTTTTACTATGGAGTAGACTCAGCACTTCTGCAGAGATTCCCAAACAGCTAGCCAGTGGCCTGCCCAGGGAGCCATGCCTGGGGAGCTAGAAGCCTGGAGACCAGGGCTTCTGTCTCTGACACTGGTGACAGCGTCACTCTGGGCTTCAGAGCCACAGCAGCACACCCAGCACAGTGCTGGGTTCATGTTGCAGGACCTGCTCCGTGCACTTTCCTGAGGGAACTGTTACCTCTGGTTACTCCCACTCCAGCAGGAACCGAGCTGGAGGTGGGATTAGGACACAACCTCTTCAGGTTTCTGCAACGCTGCCATGTCAGCTCCAAGGGGACTTCCACCCAGAAAGTCTATTTTGACAGGAGTCTATTTTTGCCCAGTACCTGCAAAAGCTGAGTTTGACTGCCATTTGACTGTTGGCACCAAGTAACCATCTGTTCTGGGAAGAAATTCTAAAGAAATGGGGAAAAACAAATATGTTAAAGATGAACTTCAAAGTGGAGAAAAGCACACCTACAGATACGTCAGTGTTCACCCCACTCCCACAATCACGCACAACTGTACTTTAAGTGACAGTCCTTTCGGGTCCCTCATCACACAGTGGAAACACCTACCTAAATGCTGCATCCAAGTTTGAACATCTATCATGTTTACTAGGGAACTTGGGTCTCACAGCATGTACTATGGCGCAGAGGGAGCCAGAGCACCATTCAGGGGACACTAAAAGGTGGGCACGGTCAGGCACAAAAGCCTTTTCTGTTGTATTACCCAAAAGTTCTCAAATTTCTTACTTTTGGGGAAAAAAAGAAAGAAGTTAAATGAGCAGAGCCATAGGTGGACCTGGCCATCTCTGCAGGTAACACTGCTGTGTGCTGTGACACAGGATAAGGGTAAGTGCTCTGGAGGCCACGGGGAGAGAGAAGGAAGGGCTGACTTAGCAGGCTGGCAAGGCACCAGTCAGTCACACTGACTCGTCTGCTGATTCTTCCACATTTAAACACACAATTGTATTGGCCATTTGCAAAGAATAATGATTTTTTTCCTTCTGCTGAACATTTGATCAATTTCATCCAGTCTGCCTGAGAACTCTCAAAGTAACTGGAAAGGGCCTGCCTCTGCCTGCTCTCCTGACTTAGAGACCAAGCCCTTTCCATGCTCACTATCTGAAGAAGAAGATTACTGCCTTTAACCAGTCCAAAGGACATTTGGTTAAGTACCAGAGATTAGGTTAACAGCAAATACTCTGTAAACAGCAACTCTGATTTTTATATACCACTTCATAAATCTCAGTCTGATATCATTAAAGCCAAGTGTAAATGTCAAGATTTTAAGAGTCTCAAACCCTGAACCAAGAGGTGACTCACCATAGGATTTTTAAAAAACTCATACTTCGCGTAATTCTTCCTGAATAAGAACTTGCTTTCACTCGCCATGGTGCTCTCCACCTGGACCACCAGCTCGTGGTCTTCCAAGCACCTTTCTGCAGGAGCAAAGGAGCACACGTGAGACCCGCAGGCGGGGACTGCAAGGCAGCCCAACAGCCACGTCGAAGCCTGGCTGACTTGGTGTTTTAAATGCGGGGAACGAAGACCAGGTCGGGACTAAACTAAAGGTTGGCCCCTCTCTACGGCACTGTGCGATTAGGAGGCACTAAAATTCACAGCATCACCAAGTCAGGCTGAGACTTACAGACTTCCTTTGAATGTGGTTTCTAAAAAATGTTAAGACAGTTAACAAAAACTGTTAGCAAATACATTGCCCTTAAATTAAGGCATTTCAACTCTTGTAAGGAAAAACTGTGATAACTGAGAAAATTGCCAAAGATGAAGAAAGGAGGCCGGCCTGGTAAGATGCAGTGGGGGGAGAGGGCACGGAGGTGCAACGTGACGGAAGCTTTTTCATTAAATGACACTTGGTCACCTGAATCTGTGTGGGGGAATGGAATGGGAGGGAGGCAGCTGATGTGTCATAGAGACCGTAAGTGCAAACATGCTCATCCTTCCCTCTGAAGCCGGCACTGACCACACCATAGAGGAGTTCTCACTGACAGGGTCACACCTGACAGCAGAGGAGAAAACACATTCCATAATGTGAGACTCGTGTGTGTGTGTGTGTGCAGGTGCACCCCTGCTCCTCCCCCCACTTCAGGGCATCATTTTTAGAATCATTATTATCCTAGAAAAGTTATTTATCTTCATAATAGCCAGATCATGGAAGAAGCCCAAGTGCTCATTGATCCACGAATGGATCAATAAACTGTGGTATATGTATACCATGGAATACTATGCAGCCATAAAGAAAGATGGAGACTTTATCTCCTTCATGTTTACATGGATGGAGCTGGAAAATATTCTTCTTAGCAAAGTATCTCAAGAATGGAAGAAAAAATATCCAATGTACACAGCCCTATTATGAAACTAATTTATAGCTTTCATATGAAAGCTATAACCTAATTATAGCCTAGGAATATGGGGGTGGGGGGTGGGTAGAGGAAGGGTGATTGGAAAGATCACCTCTATGGTTTATCTTACAAGGGTACAAGTGAATCTTTCTAAGAGTAGAATATAAACATCTTAACACAATAACTAAGAAAATGACATAATGGCTATGTTAGCCAATTTTATAAAAATATTTCAAATTGCATATGAAAACACCACACTGTACCCCACGATTGCATCAATGTACACAACTATCATTTAATAAAAAAAATAAGAAAAGTTATTTCTCTTGTTATGGAAACACTTGGGTTCTACACTGAGCATAGAACTCTGCACACTCCAGAGCTACATGTGCTTGGAGAAGCTGCTCTGCTCTGCTCTGATGGGGGTGATCCCCTTCCCAGGGGTACCTCTGGAGAAACTGTCCCGACAGTGGGTTGGTGGCCCCAAGAAACCTGCCATATTAAGTAACCAGGTAAACAAGAGGGGCACACCTACGGCAGGATGGTGGGGGCACAGATGCAGAATGGTACAGACAAAGACGCTAGGGAACCAACGCCCAGGCAGTGTGCATGCCCCCACCTCCTGTCACGCAACCAGAAGGGGGTCTCTAGAAAAGTCTCCTCTTGAAAGGAAGGGATAAAGTTTACTGCAAAAGCATTTCTGATTCAAAGCAGCCTCAGAATGCATAGAAAGCCTTTCTGTCTATAAAAGACGATTGTGGCCATGGGTGCTCATCTCAGACAGGCCGCAGTGGTGCATAGAAACAGATTCTGGACCTGAACTGTCCAGCTTTGGTGTTGGTTTTTCAAGGAAAGGATCCTTTGATTAAAACATATTTAAAGTCAGACTTTGTGAAGAAAAGGAATTTTCTCCCCAAGGCTGCCAGAAAGTTCACACCTGGCATCGCTGCAGACCTGGAACCATTCCCATTTGTTCCTGCCTCAGGAGAGAATTTTGCTAGCAACACGTGAACCAAAACACAGAACTTATGTTTCTCCACGACAGAAAAAGAAAGAAGCTGTGTACAACCTGAGTGTGCAGCTAAAGTCGTTATGTTTGCTCTCAAAACATAAAGCAGGCTCCAGGTCATTCATTTAAAATGGATTTTCCAGGAGGAAAACAAATCAATGACTTCTGTTGAGATTTTTATTTAGAGAAAAATTTCTTTCTGTAGTTACAGAAAAAAATAACCAGCAAAAAATCGAATCCCAAATCAATAGCCCAATAGCCCGCTGATCGTAGATTTACAGAAATAAAAATTTTTAACAGGCAAAATAAGGAGAAATGTCAGAAGGAAATGGCAGCTACCTAAGCAAGGGCAAGATGTCTTCTTTCAAAAGTAAAAAGGTATTTATTTTGTCTCCAAAGAATGATGAAAAGAGCCAAATGGACCCCTGAGGGAGCTGCCTGTCCTAAGGGGCCCCTCTCAAGCACCGGAAGCTCCAGTCCTGCACACACCTCCTACCTCCCTGTCCCTGAGCCTCCCTGGAAAATACCTTGGGACAGATGTGCCCCCTGGAGGTGCCGTTGGTTCAGACCCAGGTGGGCAGGTGAGGGTGTGGTGGCCTGGCAAAGGGCACTCTGGGGATGTAGGGTAACCAATGGATCACACCAATCTGCCTGTGTGTCCCGAAAGGAGCGACCTCTGTGACCCCAGTCACTGAGGTGCCTGCAGTGGGGCCTTGGACCCCGAGAGGTGGGTCCCAAGACAAAACCTAGTCAATCCCTTTCTCACTCACAGCAAGTCAGGACACTAAACAGACTGACAGGTGAGCTCCTGCCCCAGAATCTGAGAGCTCGGGGCGGGAATGAACGTCCCCCGGACACCAGCATCCCAGTGATTAGCAGTCTGCAAGACATCAGGACAAAGCTCTCTGTCCAGTTTTCATTTTCCCTTTAAAGGTGAACACTTGGGGGGGGGGGTCATACTGAACAATCACTTCACTATCTGTGGGTCTAAGTAAAACTGGAATGTTGCTTTTCATTGTTAATATTCCAAAAGTCATTTTTATACAAATGGAAAAGGCCAGAATTCCTTGAAGAACTTCTGTGTTTTTTGAATTTCTGAAACTCAGTCTGGCATCGACACCATTAATTGCTCTACTTTACAAGAAAAATACTGAAATATCAGACAAATCAAAAAAGAGAAACATAACTTCTCGGCCTTAACACACGCTGTGAACATGTGATTCCACAGCAGCTGCCCAGGCTGCCCGGCGGGGCAGGGGAGGGGCTGCAGAAGAGCCACCGCCTGGAGCCGAGGGGCTGCGCCACTGGCCTGACCTCACTGCCTGGCCTGACCTCACTGCCTGGCCTGACCTCACTGCCTGGCCTGACCTCACTGCTGCCCTCGGGCTGGCTGCAGACCAGCCTTTGCCACACCAGCCCATCCTCACTCAGCTCACACCCCAGGGTAAAAGAAAGGGATTTCCCAGGCTAGGCGATCAGGAGAAGGTAAGGAGAGATGGAAATCACTTGGCATGTGGACGAGCCTTGTAGCGGCCTTCTGTCTATCTGCAGACTCTAGATTTGGTGCTTTTCAGGAGTAAGGACAGGGAGTGAGAGACAGGATGCAGGTGTCTCCTCTCACAAGAGAGGAGAGCACCTCCTAAGGGCTACCTCGGGAACTGCCCTCACCTTTTTCTAAAGCATCTCTCCTTTCTGGGTGTGGAAAAGGTTTCATATCATTCAGGGTCTAATATTTTTGCTGCTGAGATCAGTAAGCAGGTTGAGTATCCCTTACCCTAAATGCCTGGGGACCAGAAGTGTTTTGAATTTGCAGTTGTTTGAATTTTGAAATATTTACATTCCACTTACTGGTTGAGCATCCCAAATCCAAAAATCTCAAATTTGAAATGTTCCAATGAGCGTTTCCTTTTAGCATAAAGTTTTGGACCTCAAAATGTTTTAGACTCTGGAACGTTTAAAATTTTGGGTTTGTGGATTTATGCTCTGAAATCTCAATTTCAGAGGCTGTATACAGATTAAAACCATGTCAGAATCAGTAGCCTCACACACTCCCCAGGGGTTTGTCTGGGCTATGATTCACCCTGGTACCTGCCCGATGGACCGGCAAGCATGGACATACCAAGCACTGGTATGTCTCCCGTCCCTGGGAGAACACCCAGCACCTAACTCCCCAAGAAATGTACTTTCTACAGAGAGACAGCATTGCCTGGGGAGGTGGGGACAGGGTGGCTCTGACCCAAGGGCAGGTGTGCCTCAGAAGGGCCCAGGGACTCCCCTAGGACATCACTTAGGACAGGTAAGAATCCCCCAGAGGCTCATGGCTCTCTAGTCTCATTCCAGAGGTTTCCTGCTGAGACACTGAGGGGCTTTGCCAGGCACCCCTACACGCCCATGCTTTCCTGCTAGTGGGCTTCTGAGGGCTGGTTACAACTGAATCACTTCAGGTTAGTATTTCTGGCTAAACAGCAACTTAACAGATTTTTTTTTCTTTTACAAAATTAAGTGATAGGCTTGGGTCACAAACAGAACACACAGGGACATCACAGGACTGGGAATGTAGAAGCTGCGTCCATAGTGGAATGGGGGCCGCAGGGGGTAGGGTGCTGGCCTTATAGGACTGTGAGACTTGGTGGCTCTAAAACCTTACAAAACTGCCACAAAACCTAGATAAGGGGAAAGTGTGTTCCCTTGATGATAATGAGAAAGAAACGAGTGGAAAGAAAACCAAGAAAGATGTTCCAAAGGATCCCACAAATCTCTGAGTCTCGGCTGTGGGAGAGTCACTCAATTTCCTCTTGTCGACCAAAAACCAAAATTTGAGCCAAATGTTTTTTTATTTTTCAGTCATTTTACTTGTTCCCCTTTCTTTTGTTCCTATTTTTTAATTTGCTTTTAAAACAAAGTAGCCTTGCCATTAGTGTGTGTTAAGTTAATCTGTACATGAGCAAAAAACCAAGATGTACGAATCGCACATCCCTGAGATCACTGAGTGCACACACGTAAGAAGGTGTACAAATCACACATCTCTGAGATCACTGAGTGCACACAAGTAAGGTGTACAAATCGCACATCCCTGAGATCACTGAGTGCACACACGTAAGAAGGTGTACAAATCGCACATCCCTGAGATCACTGAGTGCACACAAGTAAGGTGTACGAATCGCACATCCCTGAGATCACTGAGTGCACACA